AGCCAGGGCTGGCTAAATGAGGGCAGNCGGCGGGGCGACATCGCCAGCGCGTCGCCAGCCCCCATGACTGACATCGCCAATATTTTGAGGAGAAATGGCCAATTTTCCTCAGGAACTTCACTCCATAGTGTTAAACAAGCGGCAGCTTGCTGGGGGCTTCGCCCCCAGTCCCCCAAAAGGGAGGCAAGTGCCGACAAAGCAACAGCGGCGCCGCATGTGGCCGCTGCGCTGTGCCAGGCGCAAGGGTGGCTCCCCCGCATTTCGCCAATCCTCAATGTGCCATCGCCAGCTGATTGGCGAAATTTGGACGCGACAGCAGTCCTCATCGCCCGCCCATCGCCAAAGCTGCCACGAGGGCCAGAAACACTGCTGTGGTCCTTCCCCCTCTGCAGCCGCTCGGGAGGGGTCATCACATCTTGCCTGAGCTGCTGAATGATTCTGTCAATTGTCAAGCGGGCGGCTGTGAGCGACCGCTCCCCGCGCTGCGTGTCCTCGGCTTGGCATTGAACCCAGCGTTGGGCGGAGCGGCAAGCCAGGGCAACAGGGCATCTTGTGTGCCGCACGGCCGCCACACCCGGGCTGCTGGCCGCACCAAACACCTGAGGAGGAGCAGCGTGGTTGGGCCAGGGCGAGGTCCCGGCCCCCTAGCAGGCTGCAATAACCTAGCCGAGGTGAGCAACAACTGCGGGCTGCGGCAGCGCCGGCCGACACACCAGCATGATGCAACACGAGAGGCTGTTGGCGGCGTCGAGCAGTCAGCCGCGTCCAGGGCCGGCGTGTGGTTGCCAAGCACCATTCGGCTGCCGTGGAGGGGCCTGCTCCTCACAGGGGCAGCAACAGGTCGTGTGTGCCTCTGCCTGTGGCCGCCTGGGTCGCCGCCGCGCCTCCTCCCGGTGCAAACTCGTGACACTGCCACGCAGCCTGCCAGCGTGACCTGCTCTGCCTGCACCTGTCGCAGGGCCTCGCGGCGCGCGCCGGGGCGGCATGACGCACTTTGTGGGCAGCGAGGGCAGCACCCAGGGCCCTGTGTCGGTGGTGGGCGACGACCTGCCGGACATGGGCGGCATGGAGTGGGACGACGTGGACGCCTTCCTGGACGACGTGAGCGCCAGCAGCAGCGCTTGCAGGGGGCGACAGAGCAGCGGAGCAGCGCCCGGAAGCAGCGGGGAGCGGCCTGGCAGCAGGGGAGGCGGGGCGGGAGCACGGCGCAGCACGTGTGCCCGCTCGCCTGCGTGCCCCCCAACGCCTGCCCGCCTGTGTGCTCACCAATGCCTGCCTGCCCGCCTGCCTGCCTCCTGCTGCAGTACTTGAAAGAGCTGGGCCCCGAGGCGCAGGGCCAGGATGCCTTTGGCAACTTTGGCATCGACTTTGCGCCCAGCACGGCGGTGCAGCCAGAGGTGCTGGGGGCGTGGGGCCCCTCCGCCCCCACCCCCTCCGCCCTGCCCGCCGACTCCACGCAGCAGCAGGGCGCCACCATGCTGACCAGCCAGCTGCGCGCGCAGGCGCTGGGCAGCCAGCAGGGGCCCGCGGCGGCGCCGCAGCGCGCGGCCAGCGAGGCGGTGCAGCAGCCGGCGCGCGCCACGCGCGCGCGCCGGGCCGCCGCCGCGGCCTCTGCCGGCGCGGCGGCGGCGCAGGCCACGTCTGCCGGCACCTCGCGCGGCGGCTCTGGCGGCAGCCGCGGCGGCAAGGAGACCAAGAAGGAGCTGGATATGAAGAAGCACCTGGCACTCCAGGAGAAGAACAGGTGCGGTGGCCGCAGCAGGTGCAGCAGCCGGTCGGCCCGCATCCCCAGCCGGCTTCCCTGGATCCGCGCACCGATGCGGCATTATTTCTTTTTCGATTCGTTACAGGCGCGCGCAGCGGCGATTCCGGGAGCGCCAGAAGCAGCGCGTGGCTGAGCTGGAGGAGCAGGTGGCGGCGCTGCAGGCGCAGCTGCAGGCCGCGGCGGCAGGCGAGGGCGGCGCCGCCGCGGTGGTGGCGCCGCTGCCAGCGCCCGCCGCCGTGCGGCACGTGGCTTCCGAGGGGGACGACATGATGCTGCATGATGCCGTGCCCAAGCTGGAGCCCAACGCATCGCCGCGGGTGAGGCCCGCCGCTCTCAGCGGCTGGGCAGCCAGGGAGCAGCGGCAGCTCGGCGGCGCTCTGCCGGGCTGCCGCGCTGGGGCAGATCCCCTGCTCGCTGCACGCCCTTGCTCTCGCGGCGCCTCGCCCCTTCCCAGCTGCCTGCTCACCTGCCACCTACCCCCTCTCATACCTCTGCCCCCCCGCTCCCTCCCTGCAGGCCGTGGTGGGCGCCCATCTTCCGGCCAGCGACGACGACCCGCCGCTGGCGGCGGCGTTTAAGGAGGCGCTGACGCTGACGGTGCGGCAGGGGCACCCGGTGCACCTGACGGCGCGCCAGCTGGCAGACATGACCCCCGCGGAGCTGGCCAGGCACTACAAGGTGGGGGCTGGCGGCGCGGGGCTGGCGGCGTGGGGCTTGGCCGCCGAGGGAGGGGGTGCATGCCGGTGGTGCCTGCTGCCGGTGCGACGGAGGCCTGGCTGCCCCGCTGGCCCCTCATTTCACCGGGCAGCGCATTGTGCGCTGGTGGCGGCACTGCCGCCGTCGGTGGACTCTGCAGCGCTGCGCACCGCTCACATGCTGCGCGCGCTGCGCTGTGCTGTGCTGCGCGCCCCGCAGGCGTACGTGAATGAGCTGGCGGGGATCCTGGTGGAGAGCGACAACCCCGGGGCCGCGCCCACGCAGGCACGCGCGGAGCCGCCTGGCTGCCTGGCTGCCCGCCTGGCTGCGTGGCCCGTCTGGAATCTTGTGCTGGCCCCGCCCCCGCCACCCAGCCTGCCCCACGCGCCGCCGTAGGAGCATTCCCCTGACACGCCCCTCGCCCCTGCCTTTGCTTCGGCTGGCCGCAGGACCGCGTGCGGCGGCTGGTGGAGGAGGTGTGCCTGCTGTCCACGCGCACCGCCGTGTGCAACCCGCCCGGCAGCAAGCACTTTGCGCTGACAAAGGTGCGAGGGCTGGCCTGGGGAGCGCAGGGGCTGGCGCCAGCGGCCCGCACGCAGAGGCTGGCGCCAGGAGGGGCGTGTCCGGCGCAACCTCCCCGCGGACGCTCCCCGCGGCCGACCGGCCCGCGGCCCCGCCCCGCCCGCAGGTCGACGACGTGTCCAACCAGCCCGCCGACGCGCGCGTGCCTCAGATTGCGCGCGCGCTGGACATCACCCAGCAGCAGCGCCGCCAGCTCAGCCAGCTGCGCGGCCTGCTGCTGCAGAAGCTGGCGCGCGTGGCGGCGGAGCGGCAGGACATCAACCACCAGCTGGCGGTACGGTACCGCCGAGCGCCCCCGGGGGGCACCCTGCATGCGACACAAGCTGCCGGCCGGCTGCAGGGAGGCTGTGTTGGGCTCCCGGGACGGCTGCCCTGCCCTGCCCTGCCTGTGCTTCATGCGACTCGCCTCAACCGCCTGCTGCCGCCGCAGGGCGCCGTGCCCGGCGGCACCGGCAGCCGCCACCTGGCCTCGCGCTACCTGGTGGCGCACGACTGCCAGCGGCGGCTGCGCGAGAGCCTGCGCGAGGAGCACGCCCTGGTGCTGGACTTTGCCTCCACCATCCACAAGCACGTGAGCGGCCGGGTGTGCGTGCCGTGGTGTGTGCAGGGGCCAGGGGCCGTGGTGGGGGTTGGCTACGTGGCAGGCGGCTCGCGCCAGCAGCTCGCGCCCCACGCCATCGCCATCGCCTCCCCTGGGCCCGGCCTGCTGCCCGCTTCCCAGCGCTGGCTGGCTCCCCCGGCCCCGGCCGGCCTGCCCGTGCCCCATCCCGCCGGCCCCCTGCGCCACCTGCGCCCTCCGC